TATTTATAAAGCTGAGACGATCAGTGGTTGCTGAAATATGTACACTGTGTCAAAACTTTTTGAACCCCCCACGTAACAACCATCAGGTCGTACGATTATTACTTTGTAATGGGCTTTGCCCTACATCATGCATGAAAAGTTCCAAACGATTCATCAGGCATAAGATCGATTATCATATAGCAAACATTAACTGTTACAAGACACGAAATAAAAAATAACAAATTATATCTTTATTGACATCTGTAAAATTATTTTTTAAAAGCCGGCCTATATAGATAGAAGCGTGGAGTAGGGACGTTTAAAGGGAGGAATAAAGCATAAATGCCCGCCGGATCCTAAGTATGATATCTTCTTGAGGTTGGTATTCTAGAAAGTGTGACTATTGGAGAGGCAATAATTTCTCTTACTAAACAGACCAAAGTATGGCTACCTAGAAATTGAGATATTAGTTGTGCAAATTATAGGAAAGTTCACACAAGGTGGTAAGGTTGATGAGATAGAGAAACATCTCACACATAGACTTGTAATAGATGAAGGTGAACTCGATTTCTTGATCAAAGATTGTACTGATGCTGGAACTTTTGCCGGAAGAGAAAAATGTCCACTTGGATTCATACTTACATATTATGAGGGACATCAACCTCAATATACTATCTGGACTTCCTACACATCTTGTACCTTTGGCACTTCCTCTCCTCCTATTCTCCTAGACATTCTTATATCCTTTAAACATATTCTATTTAACAATCGTTCTCTATTCCCCTCCAAACTTTGGCCATCTTTAAATACATTATCTAACCTTATAAATAACAATATATTAACATCAATTCCTCCTCCCCCATCTATATATATTACCCCATAAATACCAGGCAATAGGCCAAGTTTCTTTATTGATTCAGCTTAGTCATGTATATGTACTTGCTGTCTAAAAGCAGCTTTAGCAGTTTTCTGTAGTTGCCAATAAAGATCCTATAAAAACGAAATGTTCAGTGACTAATACACACTTGCAGGCCTCAATGTTAGCATATGCACATATCAATTTGTTAGAGATGCTTCAGAGATTCGATCCTAATGAAGTAGTAAGGATTGCTACAGATTCTATATATGTATGAAAAGAGGCTTTATATAAGATCAAAAATACACCAGCATTCTTCAAGCAAGTTGAAGTAAAGTCAGATCCAATTTTATGTTCACACTATCCTTCTTGTACTTGTGCAATGTGTACTGATCCAGAAGAACTTCTTATTCCAAAATCAGAATATGCAAAATGGATTAAAGAGTTTCTAAATAAAAAAACCTCTAGTAAAATACGAATGCAAAAGACATAAACCATTTATTTGTATATTTTGCTTTGGGGAATGGTTTTATAGACCAGACTCCTATGCTCTTTCACATCAACCAGAAGAACAAGAAATCTGAGAAATCCAACCTGGTCAATGGTGTGATAAGGGTGAAAAAATATATGGACCAGTTACTGATATTGTATACTGGCCAAAGAATAGGCATTGGGAATCAATCAAAAATATTCCTGAAAGTACAGCACCCTCAATTCATGATCCTATTACAAGATGTCAGAAATCATATCTTAATGGAGAAGGTGGTTCAGGAAAAACAACGCGTGCAATTCGAATTTTCAAAAATATAAACATGGTTGTATTTACTCATACAAATGCATTAGCTAAAGATTTTCGAGAAAAACGTGATGTAAAAGCTCAAACCTGGCATAGTTTCTTCAGATGGAATGGAGTGGGAGAGTGGACATCTGAATGCATGGGAGAGAAAAAATTTCCACGAGTTGTTATTTGGGATGAGGTATGTACAGTTCCTAAGCATATTCTTGAAATGTTCATTAATTATTTATTAGAACATAAATGCCAGGTAATTTGTTGTGGTGATGATGCACAACCTCCGCCATTCTTCGGAGAAATGCCACATAATTGTTTAAAAGAGTGCACCAATTATTATGAAAAAGTCTTAACTGATTATCGCGCAAAATGCCCCAAATTACGTGAACTCAAAAAAGGCATGTGTCGCAAAAATAATCGAATACAATCAAAGTTATTTCGAGAAATTCTCCTGACTATAGAAAAATGGGAATGTCTCAAAAAGGAATGGACTCCCTCAGATCACATATTATCAGCACATCACCTATCTCGAAGAATTGCATCGCAAAAATGCCTTGAACTCCATTGTATCAAGTATCCAGATACACCAGTTCCATTAATATATAGATCAAGAGATGGATATAAACAAAAACTGCCTCGTTTCAATTCCTGGTTCATCTGAGAAACAAGAACTAGTAAAAAATAATATAGTACATTTACCATTGAATACGCTTCCTGAAAAGTTTATAAAAGATATATTAACTGAAGAAAAAATACTTGATTGGGATTTGGGATATGCAATGACTGTGCATACTAGTCAAGGGATGACGCTTGAAGCTCCACAACGAGTTTGGGTTATCGATGAACATTTGGCATGGGATAATCTAATATATCTCGCAGTTGGTCATGTAGAATATTTGAGCTAGCTTATTCGGATTGAAGGCCCTCTATTACCTCCTGAGATTGAGGAAGCAAAAAATAAGAAAGCAATTGAGCGATCCCTAAGATCATTTATTTCTGGAAAACTCGTAAGATATATGGATCAAGATAAGAAAAAAGGTCGTGAATTTAACTTATTTGTTGATTATACGTGTATCCTTGTATTAAAAGATTCGCAAAAAATAATTGTGAATTATGCCTCAATGAAATGTTGTGGGAATGGGATGAAGCTGGAAATCCTGATCAATGGACGATTGATCGAATTGATAATAAACTAGGACATATAAAAGGTAATGTACGTCTTACTTGCTTGGAATGTAATCGGAATCGTCGAGTCTAACCCACTCAATGAACCAATATAAAGATAATATTTCCTATAATATTTTTCTTAATAATAATAAATATCCAATTCAAAATTTATAGGTATGACAAAAATTCTTGAAAATCGGATGTAAATGATAATGAAATTGAGCCTATATATAATAATGCAATAATAACATTTGATAAGATCGTAAAAGTAGAAGGTATTTATTAAATAAAAATATGATCTTCGGTAAAAATAATTAGAAATGCGATATTGTCCAATATTGAAGAAGATAATTATGGAAACCCATTAGATTCATATAATTTTGGGGAAGATACATTCGAATATATAAAATATCTCTGGAGCAATGACTCTTTAAGCTTACGTATATTAGAAAAAAATACGAATAGATATTTAACAAATTTTATTTATTTAATGTAGGGAGAAGAAAGCTGACCTATCCATCTGCCATATATATTTTTCGGTTGGTTTTTTGATCGACTTCGTATTCAAACACATGCTTCGATTATGAATAATAGAAACTATTGCGTAAAAATCGGTTAGTCCAGATCTTTATTAATCCAGATAATCAATGATATATTTACATAACATTTTTACTTTACGTTCAGGATAATTAAAAACTCGAAAAATTATTAACCAATCACACAAGATCGGAGATCGACATAGAAGTTCGTGAAACATACATAGCCGAGAGCGATAGAAAGAACGACGAATTATCAATAAACCAACTATCTATATCTGGGTCGTTACATAATCTATTTTAACCTCCTTTTCAGATTTGCCGTGCCTCGTGATCTCGCACCTAGACTAATTATTTGCTTGGTGCATCTTCCTATTCCATTTTTGTTAATTAGACTAACTTGGATTTCAAAATTATGGTTAAT